CCCAGTCACAGGCTGTCCCTCTCCTAAAGCATGTGGACTTCGTCCTGTGGGCCGGGAGACCCTTCCCCCTTCGGAGACTGGTTCGGGGTGTTCTGGTTTCCTTCTGGAAGTTTCTGCATGGAGCCTGACCTTAACCTTGGAATGCCACGTAGGGGTTCTTTATCCATCAAGCCTCATTGACAGACACGCCATTTCCTGCATCTGTAGATCTATGGCTGTGCACCTGCCAAGGCTGTGCCCACGTCACAAGGCCCCTCCTTGGGGCCACACCTGGAACACTTAGCCTCCCACCGGAGAGCGCGTCTGGAGCGGCAGGCGGGAGAGCATGACTCTACCAACATGACTGTATAGAGGTAACAATTTCTCTGCAGTGAACTGGCAGGGTGTACGTATTATTAGTAATTATTATTCCTTGATATATTTCTGGGCCAATCGTGATATGTCTGCGTGACTGCTCAGGGCGGAGGAGAACTGTATTCCAAATAAAGTGTTTTCAAGTTGGGAGACAATGTTAAATGGCTTCTTTTCAGGGTAAGGAGAGCTCTTCTGACTGGCAGTCCCACCTGTGTTCAGGTTTAGAGCTGCAGCAATCATGTTGCCAAGTGCCTCCACTCCAGCCCTGGACAAATGGCAAATATTTTTAAATATTTAACAATTTCATATTAAATTTTCATGTTATATGTGTGTGTTTGTATATGATATTTACACCGAATTGTACATTACTTCGCGTTTTAAATATTAGTACTGTGAACCCAACTTAATATTTTAATTATTTATTACAAGCATCAATTAATATAAATGGATGCCTTCGGGAAACAGCCAGGGCTCCCTGCCTGTGCAAATAAAATACCCAGCACTGCTGTTATTATATGAGTTATTTGTATCTTTAATTAATTTCATTATAATAGCAGTCATTTCAATTTCCTGCCCATACAGCTTGTATGTCACAGTTTTCAAGTCCAAATACCTGTTTAAACACATAGTTACTGACTTAAACACTCAGAAAGAAGGTGGAAAGGTCTAGTGCTTATTCATTAAAATGTCAGATGTGGTGATGTCGATTTTAGTCGGGAATAGAATTTTCCACTGAATTTTGGGTTCGAGACGGAGAAACGTAAGTTAGCCATAAACCTCTTGGCTTCTGACCTATAAATACGTGGGATGTTATAATGTTATAAAAAGGGAGAAGAAATCTGAGGCAGAAATGAGCAATGGAGTAGGAATCCTCTACCTGTCTGTACTCGGATTACTTACCCTCGGCTGAAAAGGAGGAGGAATGCACAATGGCTTGCATTCCTGTAATTTTATAGGAAAAAATGTGACCCCCATGCTCCCCCTGCCCCGACGCCGCCTGGTTTGCTGGCTCATTCAGCTGTTCTGCAAACAGGGCAGCCGATGCAGAAAAAGACACTAAAGACCGCCCTGACCTCATGACCTCCTACTCTGCTGGATGAGGCAGGCGAGTGGCCATTTCCACACGGGGAAGGGGCAGCGAGCAGGGCCCTGTGGAGACTCGGCCAGAGACCCCAGGGTGGGGGCACCCACAGCGGCAGCACCCCGACCTCTTGGCCTGAGCGCAGACACGCAGAGCCCACGCGACCCAGGCTGGAGCACATTCGCCGCAGGTGTGCGTGGAGCGCAGGTGTGTGGACTGGGTGCCAGGGACCCCACCTCCCTGCTGGTCCCAGGGCAATGGCTCCTTGGTGTAAACAGGCCGGTTCTCAAGGCCAAGACAGACGGTCGGACACGTGTAATGAAATACAAAGCCTCCTCCCCTTACAACGGCAGAGGCTCGAGATGCCGCTTCCCTGCAGGACACATGGTCTCCCCTGCCCTGTGACCCCCATCCTGTGGCCCCCGCCCTGTGACCCGAAGCCTCACCTCCAGGCCCTGATCACTCTTGGCACCTCTGAAGCTCCTGCTCACTGGCCTGGTCTTGGGTGTTTCTCACCTCCTCTGCAGGGCCTCCCTGCTTCCCTCCACAACCCCCAGGCCCTGTGCCTTGCAGCGATTTGCCCCTCCTCTTAAGGTCACGGGGTATTTAATTGTATACAAAAATACATGAGGGAATGGTGACAGCGGGAGCCACCACCCGCCTACACAGACAGCCTTAGTGGTGTCACCCCATGGAGGAGACACCTCCAACCCTCTGCTGGAGTTCGATGCTCCTCCCCCCTCACCTCCACCTTCTTCTCCCCCTTCACCTCCTCCTTCAGCAGCAGGAGGCCAACCTCTGGACACCATAACACAGGGGAAGGACACGTGCATCTCGCAGGTGCTTCTACATCCATGGACCACGTGGCCACAGCTGGAGCTGGAGCTTCCCAAGGCTGGTCCTGCCATGGCCATGAACAGTGTCACCTCGTCCCCTTCCTCCCTCCTACAGATGAGGACTTCCTTCCCCTCAGCTCAGACCAGGAAGAAAATGGGTTATTATGAAAACCTCCATGGATAGCTTCACTTTTACCCATGAGGAAAGCCATCTCTTCTAGATGCAACCATGGTGTGACGGTCGGCTCATGAGCCCCGCTCCAGAAAGGAGCCGAGGCCCTGTGGCTCCAGGCCCGAAGGGCATATGCCACAGGTTTTGTCCTAGTCTCCTCCGGCAGGTGGCTTTGCCCCCAACCATCGCTGTCTCACCTAGAGTGAAAACATCCTCACTCACCTTGAAGTCAGCACCTCCTCCTTCCAACCTACCGGAGGCCAAAGCCCTGGAGCTGGCGTACCAGGAAGGAGCCTGGACACCAAGCCTCATCCTGGAGGGTCCTCTGCTGGCTCCTTTTCACTCAGCCACCACCCATGTCGCCTCCCCCGTGATGGTCTCTTCTAGCCAAAGACCCGGTCCTGACGCTCTCCCAGGGAGGGCTTCCGAATTTATCCCCGACCTGTTTTTCATCCCTGTGCCTCCTCCCCGTCCCACAGGCTTTTCTTAATCAGTCAGAACTACTTGCTGTTGTCAGCATCTGTGAGTCTGGAAGAGGCAGGATGGAGAAATGTCAGCAGCTCCAGAAGAACTTTTATTGAGTAGAAAAAACTCTTTTTTTTTAAAAGATTTTATTTATTTATGAGAGACACAGAGAGAGACAGAGAGAGATGCAGAGACACAGGCAGAGGGAGCAGCAGGCTCCATGCAGGGAGCCTGAAGTGGGACTCAATCCTGGGTCTCCAGGACCACACCCTGGGCTGAGGGCGGCGTTAAACCACTGAGCCACCAGGGCTGCCCCAGAAAAAACTCTTAGTGATGCATTTGATTTTTCCATGAAATTTTAACAGGAAGACAGATACTTAGCTGAAATGGGATCCAGTGGGTGCATTGCATAAGCAGCCCTACAAAGTACCCGAATTCTCATTAAACCAACTCTATACACCACCTCTCAGAGGTTGACTGATTGGCTTTCTTGGTTCTGTGGTGGGGGAACCCGGGTTTGCAGACCGGCCTCGAGAGCTGCATCTCAGATCTGTTCTTATCCACTGACCTGCGGGGTAGGAAAGAGGCCAGGCTCCTAGCCACTGAGTGCTGATTCCCCACAAAACAAGGCTCCAACCACAATGCCACACTGTCTGTTCTTGATAGCCTCCAGGGCTGGGAGGGTGGAGACTGCCAGAAATTGGACAATAATCAGTTTAGTTTGCCTGACTCAGTATTTCCCACTCTGCTTTTGTGAAATGGTAGCATATAACAGAAATCTTAAGAGGGCTTCATGATCGAATAAGCTTGGGAGGAAAGATGGCATATTTCTTGGAGCTGGAAAGAGTAAAAACACTTTCCCCTGTGTCTCATCCAGCTTCCATAATTATTTGTGACTCTGGATCTTCCTCCTCTCCACCCCTCACATGTGTGTGCACACACACGTTCTGCTAAAATACCTATTGATGTCATTGAACATGGTTTGAAAACATTGCTGTGAATCGCCGAGATTGGATTTCTTCATAGCCGTGTCGCATTTACAAACTCTGTGCGCTCCTCCTGGTCCAAGCAGTAACAGCACCGGCAAGGCACGTGTTCATCTGTTGACGCTGCTTGTGTTCACAGCTCTTTTGGACATTGTTTCGGAGCCACCGCCCCAGCCTGTTAGCAGCCTCAGGACCAGAGGCCAGCTGCTCTCTACGGTTGGCTTCAGATTCGGAAACAAAGTCGCTGGGAACAAGGTGTCTGCTTCACTCCTTGACTCTTCTCAGTTTCAAATCTGGAAAAAAAGGTGGGTGAGCAAGCAGGACTTCTCTCCCTTCCAGCCTCCCTCCCACCCACCTTCTCTCTGGTCAGACTGACTTCACTGAACATATAGTACACGTCAAAGTTTACTGCTTTAGCATCAGTCAAAATCTCTCAAACACTGCAGAATTTCCACCAAGTAACTTATGTTTGCCTCCTTAGATGATAAATTATGCATGAACAATCCTAATGTTGTCAAAGAAACAAGTCGAAATTGCCTGAACTTGGAATTTTTGATGAGCTTGTTGTTTTAGGACTTCGGAATATCGACATCCCCCCCCCAGAGACTTAGACTTTTTTTCCCCCTAGGTCATAACAAAACATCATGCCTCATCATCAGTTTTGATTTTCTCAAAAACGGTCTTATTTTCTTCCTTTGAAATTTCGGAAAATTGTTGAGTGTGCACTTTTGATGTATCTTGCAAAATGTGAGGCATGATCTTGACATGATCATTGTTTTTACAAAATGAGTTTTTTAAAACTCAAAATTTTCCTATTTTTTTCTTGCAAGTTAGCATGTGTTTGAGAGAACCCAGTCAATGACCCTGGGGATGCAAGGCGGGGGGCTGGTGGCCATCATAGGTGTCTGGTCTAAGCTCCTTGAGCCTCTCAGGCCAAGGGACCCCTGCTAATTGTGTAATGCCAGCATCTCACACTTTTTTTGCATGTTCAAATTCAAAAAAATGGAAAAAGTGACATTTGCTTTTTCTAAAGAATGTTCGTGTTTTAAGCCAACAGGATTCATTGCACCTCCAGGCACAGAGCAGAGTGGCCCTCAGCAGCATCGACGGTGTGACTGCCAACACTTTGAACATGTCACTAAAAGGAAGAAATGGGCAGGTAGCTCTGGAGAGAAGGAATGTGCAGGGAGGGGTAGGTCAGTTTTCGCAGGGGTAGCGGAAATGTGGGTATCCAGGGAGACCGTATGATGTGAGGGAAGGCACAGACCAAACAGCTGGCCATGGGACATGAACTCTTTTATGTGAAAGCTCCTTGAAATCGTGATCTCCCCACCCACCTGCTAACGCTTTTGTGATCATCAGTTTTTAGAAAAGCAAACCTTATTTGATGGTGGAAGACAGACCTCCAGGGCCCATCATGAAGCCACCAGTGTTTCGTGTGGACGACACCATGCCAGAAGTGGTGCAGAGTGTCCTGCTGGAGCGTGGCTGGGACAAATTTGATAAAGGAGAGCAGAACGTTGAAGACTGGAACCTGTACTGGGGGACGTCGTCTTTCCGGATGACCGAGCACATCAACGTTAAGCTGTGGCAACAGCTGAACCACCACCCAGGCACCATCCAGCTCACCAGGCAGGACCACCTGGCCAGACACCTGAAGCATGTGAAGAGGATGTACGGCACGCCGCTGTACGAGTTCATCCCACTGACATTCATCATGCCCAACGACTACAATAAGTTCGTGGCCGAGTACTTTAGGGAGAAGCACGTGCTGGGTGCCAAGCACAGCTACTGGATTTGCAAGCCTGCCGAACTTTCTCGTGGGAGGGGGATCATCATTTTCAGTGACATTAAAGACTTACTCTTTGACGATACATATATAGTACAGAAATATATCTGCAACCCCCTCCTTGTGGGCAGATATAAATGTGACCTCCACATCTACGTTTGTGTCACCGGCTTTAAGCCTTTGACCGTTTATATCTATTAGGAAGGGTTAGTGCGGTTTGCCACGGAAAAGTTTGACCTCAGTAATTTGCAGAACAACTATGCCCATTTGACCAACAGCAGCATCAATAAATCCGGGGTCTCGTATGAGAAAATCAAAGAAGTGATCGGTCACGGTTGCAAGTGGACCCTCAGCAGGTTCTTCTCTTACCTTCGCAGCTGGGATGTGGATGACCTGCTTTTGTGGCAGAAAATCACCCAGGTGGTTATTCTCATGGTGCTCGCCATCGCGCCCTTGGTCCCCTTCACAGCCAACTGCTCTGAGCTCTTTGGGTTTGATATTTTGATTGATGACAACTTGAAACCATGGCTTCTCGAGGTCAACTTCAGCCCTGCCCTGTCCATAGATTGCTCAGCGGACGTATCAGTAAAGAGGAAACTTATCCATGACACCATTGAACTGATTTACTTGCAGGGTCTGAGAAACGAGAGGACGGGATGTCGTGATGGTGCAAAGGGGAGCCGCAGCGTCTCCCTCATGAAGCTGGATGCGGGCAGATTCAACAAGGTTTGCAGTGCTCTTCCCTGTGAGTCCCTCTTACAGTTCACTAGTAGAACATTTAAGGACAAATCTGCTGTAAAGAAAGCTGTAAAAATATGCCCTGAAAATAAGCATGCCTCCCAGCCTAGGGAAATGACTAGCAGGAAGAAAGACCTACTTCTGTCAACAAGAGAACCCCCCAAAACCAAGCCAAAGCTAAAGGGCAGATGCTCGCCCCACAAGAAGATCATTCCATTCATGTCACTCATTCAGTCACGCGCGGACAAGACCAGCATCTCCCTGTGTGTCCCCTTGGACGATAGCAAAGTGCCGGGTCTCCAGGCAGGGAACTTTGTTCTCATTTGTCCCTTCAATGAAGCTACTTTTGGAGCTTCTAGGAATGGACTGAATGTCAGAAGGATAATCAAGAGCTCCAGAAACTAAAGACTAAGCAACATTCCCACATGTTGGAAATGGAAACAAAAAGAAGGTGACAGGGTTTGGGGAAAACCAGGGATTCCTTCACCAGAGACAGCAACGGCTCAGCCCCTGACCTCTGCATCCAGCACTCTGACCACGCCACTGGGACCTGATGGGGTGTGTATGTAAATATAACGATTCTGCAAAGCAGAGCACATTCAGGCCATGATTAAATTATATGATATGATTGGCTAATTTCCTCTGATTTTGGGGAGAACACCACCCAGCCTGTTGCCTGCGCTCAGAAATCCTTTATATTACAATTATACTGTACACTTATTTAAACATGAGAAAAGATCATTAGAACAGTCTTTTCAGGATTCTCAGGTGAAAACACTACCAAAAAGGCCAAAGGTTAACTTTTTGTTTTTTAATACACCATTTTTTGTTGAAAATTATTCTTCTCAACTTCATGATCAGTCACCTGAGGTGAGGCCAATTGCTGAAAATCTCCCCCAAAATACCCAAATGACTCTGTCATTCATAGGTCCTGGCCCCTAACTCAGACACTGTACCACACAGCTTCCCACTGGGGGCAGCCATCAACCATATTTAAAAAGTGGCCTCCTGTTGGCTGGCCCCCCTCACTGATAGGTTCCCATCCCAGCATGGGATCTCAGAACCTTCCAGATCCAGCTGCGTCCCCACCACTCCTGCCACATAAGCAAGTACTGAAGAGTCCTTAGACATAAAAGCTCCAGCATTTACCTGAAAATATTATGCGGAGTGAAAAAAAAGAAAAGCCAGACACAAGAGGCCACATGTTGTAGGATCCCATATACAAACAATGTCCGGAATTGGCAAATCAACAGACACAGAACACAGATTGGTGGTTGCAAGGCCGGCGGTGGGGGACAGGGGAGTGACAGCGAGTGGGTAGGGGGTTTCCTTTCAGAAGACAAAAATGTTCTGGTGATGGCCGCACAACGGTGTGAATGTGCCAAATGTCACTAATGGCATGTTTCATGTTATGCTTATTTTACCACAATAAAAAAAGGCTAAAGCAAAACAAATTTAAGATAGACAAGAGGAAATCATTGAGTCTGGGGACACAGGATACAGGGAGGGTGATGCAGCCATAGAAAGAGAACATAAGAAAGTCATTGCTGTTGCTGCCAGCATACGATTACGGGCTCTGATGCCACCTGCAGGCTCCCCTGAATGGCTAACAAAATCCTATTGCTTGATCTGAATGGTTCAGAAAAAAAGAGGATAAAAAAAATCCATCACGTTTGGCATGAGGCTGTAATGCATATTTTGTTCATTGCCTGGTTTCATGCGTAAGTACATTTATGTGTTCCCAGACTCGTTCCAGGAAAGATTTAAAGGAGTCAAGTAGGAATCGAAGAGCATCAAGACCATTCTGATCTTGTATTTTAGGTTTCTACTTTATAGTATTTGGCAAAGAAAGAATAGGTTCTTTTCCACAAAAGTTGAGGTGCGCTCTAACACGACCAACCACGCGTCTGCCACCACTGGCAAATCAGACGTCAGCTCTCACCCGCTCCATGTCTTCAAGTACTCACTCCTTCACCATGAACCAGGTTTTAATGACTCTGATGGGAGGATGAGCATTGCAGAGATGAGTGAGGTGTGTGCTATTAAGGAAAGATAATTTTATTTGTGCATTTGAAGTGTTACAGCCGTGGACCATGTGGCAGGACAAACATGCACAGTCTCGGCAGTATGTATCTCTCAAACAGCAGAATGTGAGCCAATTAAACCAAAGTTATAATGGGCCAATGTCGACTTCAAAAGCAAAAGGAAACAGTATGTGCATTGAGTTTGCATGCAGGTGCACGGTTGTGTAAGGGACACGGAGGGAAAACAAATGCAGTCTTGCTGGGGTAGAAAAGTCAAAACTGCATAGTCCAGAGACTTCTCCAGGAGGTATGTGGTCATTCTTTTTTTTTTTTTTTTTTAAAAAAAGATCCTTGGTCTCCCACTCCTGGGAGATTGGAATGGGTGTACATGTCCTTACACCTTCACTGCGTGTGAACCTGAGCACCTGGGACAGTACAAACACAGCACACGGAGTCTCCCAGGGGAGAAAGGAGGCAGTCCCACAAGGGGCCCCAAGAAAAGTAGGGGGTGGGGGTTTCCCAGCTTTGGGGATTTGGGGGATTTATTGCCGATCCTCCAGACTGGGTGCTGACAGAGCCGGCAGTGCAAGTGGACACAGGAGCCAAGACTCACCTCCCGGAAAAGGACCAGGAGAGAAGCAGCTCTGGGAAAATGTAAGTAAAGGAGCCTGGGCCACGAGCGGATCTCCGACTCTGAGGCATCTCCGAGGGAGCAGGTCTTGCAGGTGAAGGTGAAGGTGAAGGTTCCTACTGCATTTCCAAATGGGATGCCATCTGCCCCGGACTTCGAGGTTGGAAGACCAACACGAAGGGGCATGGGAGGTCATGATGAGAATCTTCTGGATGGAATGGGGAAGTAAGCAGTGACCTCCTGTGCCATGGAGGTCACACTGGGCTGGAAAGCACTGTGGGAGAGGGTGCCCCCACTGCCAAGTCCTCCCGCCTGCGGGGACCCTGGGCTGGAAGTTGCTAGATAGCACGTAAGGGCAGATGGCTGAGCCCAGCCACTCGCCAGGATGAAACCAATCCACAGGTTTGGCACAGCCATGCTGCAGCCTGAGGCCCTCGTGGGCATATAGGGGGGCAGTGGACACGGGCAGGAAGGGGGCAAACCCCTTTGTGTGAGCGTGCAAGGGGAGGGGGAGACATGGGCAGGAAGGGGGCAAACCCTGGGTGTGGCATGCAGGGGGAGGGGGACACGGGCAGGATGGGTGCAAACCCCTGGGTATGGGCCTACAGGGGGAGGGGGACACGGGTAGGAAGGGGCAAACCCCTGGGTGTGGGCGTTCAGGGGGAGGGGGACATGGGCAGGAAGGGGGCAATCCCCGGGTGTGGGCCTACAGGGGCAGGGGGACACGGGCAGGACGGATGCAAACCCCTGGGTGTGGGCCTGCAGGGGGAGGGGACATGGGCAGGAAGGGGGCAAACCCCTGGGTGTGAGTCTGCAGGGGCAGGGGGACACGGGCAGGACAGATGCAAACCCCTGGGTGTGAGTCTGCAGGGGGAGAGGACTTGGTCAGGAAGGGGGCGGCCCTGCCTGCCGTCTCCAAAAGCTGCCCTTTCTCGAAGGCTCCTCCTGTCTGTCGATCCTACTTGCAGGTCCAGCTGTGCAGCTGAGTGCGCTGCTGCCCCCGACGCCCATGTGGGAGGCCCCTCAGCTCGCTGCAGGGTGGACCCCAACAGGAAGGGAGGCCGTGTCGCCAGCCACGTCCCAAGGCCTCTGCTGAGATTTTGGACTCTTTCTCCACCGTCACCGTCTCCCTACGGTGAATTTCTGAGGTGACCCTGCAGTAGGACAATGCCTGAGAGCAGCAGACAAGGGACCAAGGGGGGTCACGGGCTCCAGCGGGATGGGGCAGGCCCTCCGTGGTCGCTGCGGGACCCTCCCCTCCCCTGTTGGTCTCACCGCTGCCCCGCTTACCCCTCCTACAGCTACATTCTGCTTTCCTGAGTCTCTTGGGTTCAGTCTGACATCTCATTTTAGGGTGAGAGGGTAAAGAAATACCTTCTCTCTTCTGGAGAAATCCAGGGAAGACCCTGGCCCACGCTGAGCAGCAGGGGGATGACAGGGCCGGCCTAGGTCCATGGGTACCCTTGTCCTGGGAATGGGGGGCAGGGGCACCCTCAGGTCCCCCCAGAGCCCCTGTGGAGCAGGAGATGACTGTCCTCGAGGAGAAGGTGGAGGGACAGCCCGCAGAGGCAGGGGTCCTCGCAGCCGCAGGCAGGGTTTGCCTATGAAAAGGGAAGGCTGGCCAGATGGGGGGATGTGGGGAAACCGAGGCCACCGGTGACCGCCAGATGCTGGGCAGTACCTGCCACAGGAGACTGCGAGAGAAGCGTCGGCCTGGGGTCCACCCGTGGTCAGGACCAGACGGAAGGAAGAGCACAGGCTCCCACCACGTGGCCCACAGCAGCCCCCAGAGGCCGGGCACTGGACTTCAGGACCCTTGTCGCCTCAGACCCCCGAGCCCGGGGCGTGAGAGCACGGGAAGCCCGGGGCTGGGCATCCAGGAAGGTACAGCCGTGCAGAGCACATCAGTGCCTTAAGCCGGGGTGGACGTGCCTTCCTGAGGCCCTCCTAGGCCCCTCCCTGTCCACCTCTGAGCTAGAGGACCCGGGGGGACCTGGAGGGGATGGCAGCGGGGTGCCTGGCTCAGCCACGCCGCTCCTTGCAGAACCACAGATGCGCTCCAAAGCCACACAGCCAGATGGCACCGTGTTGACAAGCACAGGATGCCAGGGCGTCCCCGGGCTGAGGTTGGGAGGGCTGGCGGCCAGTGGGAAGGGATGTGGGGTCACAAAGAGCACACTCGGGATCCCTGGGTGGTGCAGCGGTTTAGCGCCTGCCTTTGGCCCAGGGCGCGATCCTGGAGACCCGGGATCGATTCCCACGTCGGGCTCCCGGTGCATGGAGCCTGCTTCTCCCTCTGCCTCTGTCTCTGCCTCTCTCTCTCTGTGTGTGACTATCATAAAAAAAAAAAAAAAAAAAGAGCGGGCTCCTCCCCCCACCCCCACCCCCAACCGGTGCAGCGTCCCTAAATGAAGGGCACGCACGATTCATTTACAGGACATTTGAGCTCTAAAATAACTAAGATATTATTTTCATTAAAAAACTGACAATGGTTTGGTTTTGGGGAGTATTGTATCATCAAATCTGCACAGACTACACAAGCTGGACGCCCTCAAGCCTGATGGGGTCTCTTTTCAGGTTTGTAAGGAGGTTTTCTTTTGTTTTTTTCCAACGTTTCTACGTACGTCTCTCTGCTGATCAGCATCCAGAGAGCCGGATGGCGCTGACGCAGGGATGCAGACCCGCAGATGCAGATCCCCTGGGGATCTCGGGTACCGCGAGCCGCCTCCCTCCCACCAGATGTGCGGCGTTTATCTTGCCTTTAATTTAACCAAACACCTCAATGTCAGTTTCTCTTTTA